GGTTTCATTAGTGTGTCCTCAGGTAAGAATTCTCCATAAGTAATTAGAAACTGAGATAGTTTTTGTATTGATTCATTGATTGATTGCAAGATTGAGTATATTTTATGAAGTTGGGCAAAAACTATTATAACTGTATAACATAGGTAGGGTCAGTTTGAGCAAGTATATTATATTGAACTTTCCAAGTATCTATTCTTGATCATCCTAGAAATCCATTGTGAGACATTAAACAAGTCACTTTAGTTGTTCTCTGTGAAAATTAATGTGTTGCCCTTGAATACAAAGATGAAGGTTTTGACACACAAGAAAGTATTATCTTTTGTGTAATGTTGATAGACTTGTTCTGAGCCAAACATAGTTTCTTAGGAGTCACTCAACAGCTCATGTTTGCTAAATTTAGGGGTGTAGTTCATGGCTATCAGAGCTAAAAGGGAATTAAACCCATCAATTTTACCTCATTAGCATATTGTTGAACCAATTGAGCCAACAAGTCAGTTATTAAATTGCTGAGAATGAAAAAAGAGACTAAATACGCATATATGTGCATTGAGATTGGTTATAAAGTGCATCGGTTTATTATATGAAAAATTGAGGGCTTTGGGAAGGATTACCTTTCTACCTCTATCTCCTGAGAGATAAAGAAGATGACATTTTCTCCTAAGACCGTGTTCAGGAGACACAGCTTTTCTCCAACTAGTTCCTCTGCAATATTCTACATTGATAGCATCCAATACAAAAACTTTGAGGCACACCATTAATATTTACCAAAGTATAACAATGTCTTAGGGATAAAAATTTCATATTTATAATTCAACTCAAGTGAATATAAACACACTTTAATGAATTCAAGTGATGAATAACTGTTTTAGCTCTTCTGCTTTTCCTAAGCTTTAGTTAGGAGATCCCTCCTCTATTCAGTGTGGCAGTCAAAAACATGGTTGAGGTAATCAATCTTTCAGATTCAAAACTCTGCTTTCAAATACTTAACTATGTGATTTGGGGCAAATTACTTCATCTCTATAGGTCCGTTTCCTCATTTATCAAATAAAGATGATGATACCAGCAGCCACATAGGTATAGTATGAGGATTAAATTAGTTCATTCATAAAAAGCATTTTAGAGAGGATCTGGCACATAGTAAGTGCTCACTAAATGTGAACTCCCACCCCCTGTGGGACTAACTTTTCTTGCCCTCTCTCAAGAACCAAGCCAAGTTCTTTGTCTCTCTCTTCTTCAGATTTCAAGTTCACAGACCTTGGCCTAAGATGAAAATTGTCCTCTTTTCGGGCGACTGGGTGGCTCAGCTGGTTAAGCAGCTGCCTTTGGCTCAGGTCATGATCCCAGGGTCCTGGGATCAAGCCCCACATCGGGGGGGGGGTCCCTGCTCAGCGGGGAGTCTCTTTCTCCCTCTGCCTCTCCCCCCTACTCATACTCTCTCTCAAATAAATAAAATCTTAAAAAAAAAAAACTGTCCTCTTCTTCACCACTAGATTCATCAACTGCATTGTTCTTAAAAACCTTCAAGTATTCTTTCCTTTTCTTGGTTTTTGGACCATTATAACTTGCTTTCTCTATCTGAATACCCTTTTATGGCTTCTCCAGGTAGTATGTCTTTCATGTACACATTGAAAGGTTTTTCCTCATTACTACAGTATCAGTTCCTTGAGGGTACAGACTCTGTCTCAATTATTCTATTACTCCAGTCCTTACCCCCTCCCTGCTGCATAGTTTATGCTAAAGAAGTTTGTTGAATAAATAAATCAATTCATTTAGGCTTTGTACTTTTTTTCCTATTTTATCCTGGGTATTCTATTCTGAACCTCCAGTTTTCCTGGAAGTTCTCTTGCTCCTTTTATCTCTGGAAATTTTAAGTTCACCTGGTGATGCTGAGATCCCATCCTGGATCATCACAGTTTTCTAACTGACAGGTAAGAGATTCATTTTGCCACACAATCCATATGTTAGAAAGAAAATTCCCATTTAGTTCATCTAGATTTAAATTTCACTTAATTTAATTGGCTCTAGCTAGGTTGATTATTCTCTTTAAAATCTATCCATATCTGGGGCGCCTGGGTGGCTCAGTCGGTTGGGCATCTGCCTTCGGCTCGGGTCATGGTCCCATGGTCCTGGGATAGAGCCCCATGTTGGGCTCTCTGCTTGCGGGGAGCCTGCTTCTCACTTTCCCTCTGCCTGCCACTCTCCCTGTTGTGTTCTCTATCTCTATCTCTCTCTGCTAAATAAATGAATAAAAATCTTAAAAATAAATAAAATCTATCCATATCTTTGAGAGAGGGCTTCTATTTTGCAGAACTCTTTGTCTCATTACTTATTTGAAGATAGGGCCATACTTTCAGTTTCTTTATATGCAGAATAAGCATCAGCTCGGGGTGCCTGCCTGGCTCAGTTGTTGGAGCATGTGACTCTTGATCTTGGGGTTGTGAGTTCGAGTAGAGATTACTTTTTAAAAAATTTAAAAATCTTAAAAAGAAGAAGTATCAGCTCTCACTTGGAGTAGGTCAGGATGAACTAGATCAATCTCTTAACATTTTTCTTTTTAATACATACAAAAGACCTATATAACACATGTATTAGCTGTAAATCTTGATAATATCATGAACTACCCAACAAAGAACTAGAACATTTCCCAGTAACTTGTATCTACCTCTGCCTGGGTTCCTCCTCTATCTCTTCCTCCATCCTCAAGCGTACCCAGTATCCTGAATTTTATGCTTATCTTTCCATTGCTGTTTTCTTTTAAAATTTAGTTTTATTGACAAATGTATCTATGCTAAAATGATATGTTGTTTGACCTGTATGTTTTTGAGCTTTAGAAAAATGCTGCAAGAATGAGAGAAGATATTTGCAAATGTTTTATCAGATAAAGGGCTAGTATCCAAAATCTATAAAGAACTTATTAAACTTAACACCCAAAGAACAAATAATCTAATCAAGAAATGGGCAGAAGCATGAACAGACATTTCTCTAAAGAAGACATACAAATGGCCGACAGACAAATGAAAAAAAAAGCTCCACATCGCTTGGCATCAGGGAAATACAAATCAAAACCACAATGAGACACCACCTCACACTGGTCAGAATGGCTAAAATTAACAAGTCAGGAAACAACAGATGTTGGTGAGGGGGAACCCCCTTCCACTGTTGGTGGGAATGCAAACTGGTGTAGGCACTCAGGAAAACAGTATGGAGGTTCCTCAAAAAGTTGAAAATAGAGGGCGCCTGGGTGGCTCAGTCGTTAAGCATCTGCCTTTGGCTCAGGTCATGA